GGATGACAGCCTGGGGCGTCTCAGCAATGCCTTATCGATTCGTACCCGTCAAAAGGACAAGGTGATGCTAGCGAGCGCCGTTGTTAGGGTTATAGGTTTCTCATATTTCTATGCCTCTGCTATGCACCCTTCATCCACGGTAGATCACCTTAGGCGAATCCCCTACAGGTGCAAAACTGTTAAAGGCCAATGCCGGGAAATAAAACTGCTGAAACTACTTCTCTCGGGGATTACAGGATATCGTTCACCGTGAAAGGCTAACACATCACGGAACGGAGATACCACGAATGTACCCACGCTGGTATGAGTCAGGTGAATGCCTATCGTTGTTACTCTTCGGGGAAACTTTGTCTCACGATCCCCCCCCCCTTCATGGGTGAATTATGTAAATTTTATTGCTACTTGAGTCATCAGAGATTAAACTAGCAAAATCCGCGACATAAATCCGATACGCGCGATTTGTACAGATTTGCAAGAGAATTTTTACACTCCTCTTTCTAGGGCTATAACTTCCTTCATATTCGAGCTTCAGCGCCGAAGTGATTTGATTTGGAAAATTCAAATTATTCTCTATCCAACCATGGGTAAAAATTCTTCGGAAGTTAATTTAGTAAAAATTTTGTACGTTGTTACTTTTTTCTGTGCAAAGGCGACTTTTTGACCTTCAAACGATCATAACTTCCTTCAAAGTCATTCATTTGGGAAGCTGAACACGTATAATAAACTACAGGATTCAAGCCACCGTTGGTAGGATACATGACATCATTTGCTCCCGAGCCTGCCAGGACAGGTGCCGAGGGTTGGGGGGTCGATCCAATATCTATTAGTTCACCAAGTGAAATCATAATGAACTACAGGTTTCAAGCTTTCCAAGGAGCACCCAAGCGTTCCTGAAAGATCAGCAGTTCAAAAATTAGTTCCCGTTGTTACTTTTTATTTTGAGGGGTATTCTTCAAGCCATTTTCTCGAAAACGCGAGTTTTCTTAGGTTTCACTGCCCGTAACTTCTTGGAAGACCAATTTTATGTTTAATTTAGGATGTGCTAGAAAGCTCCGAGCATGCGCTTGCACTACATCCCTTGCCTTGGTGCGCGCCACGCCTCGGGCGCCCTTCTAATTCGCTGATTCATTTGAAAGCTCATTTAGAGCGGAAGCGTCGGTTTATAGATGCTCTGGTACCAGACATCTTACGAAAACGTAACGTTAACGTCCGCTGGCCTATTAGTCGATCATAGTACATTGACTCATCCCGGCCCGAAGAGGGTACGACACCTCTCCAAGCCTAGAGCTCAGGTGAGTACGACCCCCGCCCGTTGTTACCTCGTTAACAATCTAGTGGGTTGCACCCATGGATTTCTGATCCCTCGTTAGTCGTGTTAGGCCTACTCCCGTATTACTTAGGCAAGACTGGGCCATTCATCGCGGCTTCAACGCTCTTAGGAGGATTCCGGACCACGCGTTTCCGCTCCACCCAATCTACCTCTAATTTATCTACTATTGTCACCAACAGTCAAGCAAAAAACATTGTGTCATTGGACGAAATCCCTCCTTCTCACTCACTCACTCACTCGCACTCACTCCCTCTCTCTCCGACCCCCTAACCCCTCACTTCCTCCCCGTCATCTATTGTGCCTACTCGCGGACCCGCTGGAATCGCCATCGATAAAACGCCTTTTGTACATTGCTATTTACCTATGATCGTCTTTTGCCGCCTAGAGTGGAATTAAAGGACAAGGACAACCCCGGAGGAATGAAAGGCTTGGATGCCCAGGCGGTGTACAGTGCATGGAGTTTCTAGCCTTCTTTCCTTTGCTTCTAGTGTATTCCTATTCTGTTGGCTATAGCCTGAAGCCACGAGTGCGGATAGCTTCCAAGAAGTAAATAGTTATCTCCTAGAGTGAGAAAGAGTGGTCCTCAAGCGCAGCAGGCGGGAGACATTGTCGCGACGTCTTCTCGAATTCTCGAACAATGTTCCACACCAACTCGATCCCGACTCAAGCTTTCAATGGTAGGCTAGTGGGCGGTGCGATTTCGATGACGTTCATTAAACGTCATTTGTGGAACGGCGTGAAGACTAAACCAAACCCGCGCGAGCGTGTAGCGCGGTGAATGACATTCAATGACATCATCAAATCCGCAGCGCCTTGGACCATCGCGACCAATACCCTTACAGCACATTGACGACGACGTGACTCGTTTACGCGTCTCACTTTGCACGCCGGGTCGGACATTGGGACGCGACCGCGTCCCGCACATGTCATCCATTCATCTCCTTTCTCGCCCTTGGAGAAATTTTCCCCAGTTTGTTTGTATTTATTTGTAGACAAACCATAACAACTATAAACGCGTGGTTCGCAGTATGGTCAAACAGTTTGAGTTTAACAGAGTTTTTCCGAACCTTATGAAATCTTCACTTCGGTTCATTCGTCGTTTTCCTATAATGCTTTTGAGCTTGTAAATAAAAAAGAGTACTAGAAGGACATGCAAACCTATACAAACAGCAAAGCATACGTTATGCAAACGTCAAAATCGTCGTCTTGTTCCAATAAAAAAACATATATTTTGCAATTGTTATAGGATTAGGTCCGCTATCGTTACTGTATCAATGAACATCTGCTTGGTCCAGATTTGTGCTGACGATATACCGTAGGAAATACCGTAACCACATGTGGTCGACCGTTTTTCTGGTCCAAATTTCGCTGCAACACCTCGCAGTTACAGCTTTAATTACTAGCTACAATTACAGCTTAAAGGCTTGAACTAATTCTCACTCCCTCACCAAATTACTCACCTACTCGATCTGATCGGAACCCATCTTGTGGTTTTTGACGTGACGTTTTCGTGATCATTATTGGCTCATTGAAATATTGTAATTACTTGTATTTTCAGATGTTATTAGCGTTTATTCTGTTATTAGTATTATGTCCATTCGCCTATGCAGTGAAATGTCTCGATTGTGTCGGAAAAGACTGCATGGGCTCGTTCTGTGAAGGCGATTACTGCGTTCTGGCACAGTATGCGCCTCGATGGGGAACGATCGAATGGGGAAAACCCCAAATTGTTAAGGTATCTTATGAATTTTTTTTTTTTTTTTTTTGCTCCTCTAGTCTGTCCCTTTTCATACCGTGCAATAGAGTTTGGTTACCCTCAAATGGTGCCCTTCTACCGGTTACTTTTCACTGATCATCTCTTCTCAGCCATTGCACCGCCCCTTTTCGATACAAAGAAAGAACAAACCAGCCTAATTGACTTATCCACGGGCCTATTTTGATCGAGACAACCTACCCTTGAAGGGGGCAGGACAGTTGTAAGGGGCGCTACTACCGCACCCATTGTTCGAGGATAGTATCCTGAATCGGATCAAACCAAATCGCCTCATTTCTCAGTCTAAGAACTGAGACAGAGTTCTTGTTGAGCCCATCCATGAGTGCAAAAATAGGCCTTGTAAAAAGGTTTAGTCCTCTAAATCATTGAAAACAAGGGTCGAATGTGAACTCGAATTTGTCATGACTTCAAATGTAACCTCGACATCCCACAAGAAATGAAATAGCTCCTTAATTCTGAGCTCAAATGCCACCAACCAGGACCATGCATATTGTGGGCTAAAACATCATGGATTTCATAGACTGCCAGCACACTCCTTGCATATATTCATGTGCTCATCCAAATACTGCTGCGTTTCCGAATGGAAGCCGGATGCATGGCTCATTCCAAACTTATGTCTCATCTTTCCAACACATCTAAGATGCGAGGAACTCGTTCCCTCAATGATTTTCAAGAGATTGCGAAGGAGGGCAACTCAGCCTTTGCTTTTTACTGATAACATCTTCAAGACTGCACCTAGACCCTATGAAACAGAATCCGACTAAAATTTTTCGAAATCTCCTAGGGCATGCCGATGCGACGGATTATTGCGTTTTGGGTTCTTTCACGCTTCGGTGAACTGCTCGACGCAGTGGCACTCACCGCTCGCTTGTCCTCTCTTCATACTGACCATGAGATAGCTATGACGAATGGATGCTGGCACAATTCAAGGGCTCAATGAGTGCTCGAAGGCGCATGAAATGGGCGAATATTGCGTCGTTGATGGCGCCCCGCACGTATGGGATAGTAGTAACGGAACACTTGTTTTGCTACGCTGAAGGCATCGCCTCAATTCTGCAAAACATCGTCTCATTTGAAACATGGGGCCACAGCAGCCTTCCTAATGAGAAAAAGGTTGAAAGAATGCAGCTAGTTTTTTTATTTGCTTTGCTCTGCCCGTTCTGCTCGGCTATGGGCCATTGTCTTCATGATATGAAGCCTTCTGCAATAGATGAAAACCTCATCGATTTGCAAAATCTGTCACCTGCCTTAGAAGGGTCGAAATTCGATAGGTGGTACAGAGGTACTGTGGGCCGCATGCCCTACCAGAACTGTAGCGTGAAGTTGTACAGCATAATCAGAACCACACTACCTAAAAGCCTGTCAAACAGTGGCTTGAAAGAAAATGTCAAGCAGCTGCTCCAGACTAAAGCTCCTGAAGAGCAGGCTGGTTGACAGGCCTTTAGGTAGCGTGGTTCTGATTGTGCTGGACAAGTATCACGCTACAATTCTGATAGGGCCTATGACCTACGGTATCCCTGTGCTACCATATCGGAGCTCGACCTTTCTAAGGCCGGTGACAGATTTTGCGAATCCAGCGATTCGCTATTAGCGACTCCGCTGACTTGCCACAATCGGATCGCTGGATCCACGATGTCTGACAACGGTCTCATAGGGAGGGTTTTGGTGAAAACTGATTTACTTCTGTGAAATCTAACTGGGTGCCGATCACGATGCCTGGTGCTTGAGAAATCCTCGCTAACATGGAAGCAACTAGTGGAGAATTGAAAAAGGAGGCTCTTCGAGTCTGCCACCTTATGGTCCAATAGAGGATTGTGGGGGCAGACATAGAAAAGGAATCCGTAGGAACGCCAAGGAATCCATTTCCTGAGCGGATGTTTTCGCTCGTCATGTCGTTCATTTTTGAGCCACTCCCATCAACTCTCCGATTTCTTTCCCTGACGAGATGACGTTGACTGGTTGGCTGAAAGTAGGACAATAAAGCCAGCTGTGTATTGCTCCATGAAGCATTCCTGTGACTCATAGGCATGGAATCGGTCTCTTATGCTATTTCGTTGAAAACGGAGTGATGTGAGAAAGCATATTCGAAAACAGCATTTCTTTGAACCAATCCACTATTTTGTACGCCATCATTCCACTTCACCCGTTCACGTTCGTCCGAAATGATGGCGTAGCACCGCTGAGCTGACAGCCGATGTTGTGATAATGTTTTTTCCTCCTACAGAAGTCTGATATCGGTTGCTTTCCGAGGATACGATCTGAAATCTTACACCCAGACCATGTGTGTGATAAACGGCTCCACTTGTCACTACACCACTACCGCTCACCAGTACAGCTAGCAATCTCTGATTCTGTAATGATCCAACACCCTAACTGACAGTGGAAACCGTACTGGGGCTTGTTGTGTTGTACGTCTTGAACGTCAAGACAAGAACCTTCGTAATGCTATGGGTTAGGCGAGGCATTCATCTCAGGTAACTCTTTGAAAAGAGCCGGCTAATGCAGCCTCAAATAAGTGGAGAATAGATCCTAGCTGAGAACCACATACACCGTACTTTTTGTATAGAGTTACAGAGAGGGGGGCGACGATAGGTCAGGGAAAAAGCTCCAAAGTGGGTCGGCGAGACCAAGTCGAAGAACTGAATAGAACCCTTCAGAATAGTAAAAGTGTAAAATTTAGTACCCCTCATGGTCCTTGGCGCTAAGGCTAGCTTCAGCCTCAAAGACGCAAAGCACAAAGGAGCGCTCCCCTATCCCCAACTCCATTTTCACCACTGTGATTCTTCAATCAGTTGGAAAATGCCTGATATTCAGAAGAAATTTTTAGGGATGTATGTCAGGATCACTGTTACGGAAGGACATTAGAGATCACTGTGAAGCAGCTGATGACGAAGGAAAGGTGAGTGCTTTGAAATCTGTGCTGAAGTAGAAAAAACTGTTGGGTCCAATTTTGTAGCACCCTTATGGTTTCGCACTCTTCCGAAAGGGCCTATTCATACTCATGAATGACAACTTTAGGAGCTGTTTTTCTGCTTCTGCTTTCTCCTCTCTTTTTCCTCTACCTCATTGAAGGATTCAGAACTTTTCTTTCTTGATCGCGCAATGTTTTTCTCTTTATCTACTCAGCTATTTGTTTATTTATTGAGGTATTCATTTATTATTTATTCACTCGTAAGTTTATTTTTCATATAATAAGGTGCATAGGGGAGCTTAATAGAGAGCAAAAGGGCAGCAAAATCAACATCAAACAAATTGCATATAACCTAGGACACGAACCCGAACGGACTTACACAGTCGATATCTCGAAGTCTGATTGGGCGTGTCACCGGAAATGACGTGGCAGCCACCGCACTTGATAGATGTTGTGTGGATAAAATACTCCGCCAGATATCAGCAAAGCGTGTTGGAAGCAGCTTATCCGCGCAACTTCTATCAAGTGCGGTGGCTGCCACGTCATTTCCGGTGACACGCCCAATCAGACTTCGAGATATCGACTGTATTGTTTCCAATACTGATCGTGTCGTAATTGCGTATGACCTTACAGGTGTACATCGAACGACCGCGTCCTCCAAAAATACGAAGAACCACGCTGCTGTCTTTTGATCGCCATTGACGTCAAAGTGCACTGCAAAGTACTGCTGTTAAAGAAACTGCTGAGAACATCGCTGTCAAAGTTGCTGTGGGCAGAAACTGTAAAACTACGTTCTGAATATTACTACGAACATTATTTGACCTTAACCAGCATCACCGTGCGCTCTGTTAATGATTCCGTCCGCTAAACGCTTTTCGGCCGTTTTCCCGCCTTTTTCTCGGAGGCCAAAAAGGTGAAAACAATTTACGCTCAGTCCGACCAAACGTCCTCCCTATCCGCTAACGAGACCTTCGAGACCAACTAGACCCCAATCCACATAATCAAATACATACGGCAGATAGAGTAACCGCTACCTCCCGATAGCGGAATTGTCAAGCTCAACAGGACCCGTACAGTCCAACAGCGCCGATCGTCAGACCTGTCAGCAGTTCCAGCGTTCTGGTTGGCAAGGCTATAACTACTCCTCACTATAGCGGTCGTTCCGGCCGCTTATTCGCAACACTTCTCCTCTGCGGCTTTATTTTCGATTCTTCGAACCGATCCAAAATGCCCGCAGGGCTTTGCGCGCGGGCTGCGTCTAGGTTCGCCTGCCTGACCTCGACCGCAGACCGCGACGGGCCAAGAATCGCTTCCATTATGAAATTCCACCCTGTGGTAATCTAGTGCAGTGGGTAGCTTTAATCAGCCTTTTCCCTCCAAATACTCCTTAACACGGACATGAAGAGATCTGGCCGTCCCTCCTATATACCATAGACCACCCCTGCGATGGCGCAGTCTCCCCCACTGCCATTGGGACAGACCACGCGATTCTCGGTCACGCATGTGCGGTCGTAGAGACGTGTAGTTTTTGTTACTTTTTGGCTGTCTTTACCTTTCATTGAATTGCAGATCCGGCGAAATACCCAAGTGTTCATAATACAAGTGGGCCAAAACGTGTACTCCCGAACAAGTGGCGCTTGCCCAACATACACGGTGCGCTGGGATCGATCCGTGATTCGGGCAAGGTCCAGGCCAGCTACCCCTTTCACGCCCCGCGGCGCCCACGCACGGTAATGACTTCTTGGAGAAAAACCGCTGCACTGCCTCTTGGTTTGCCCCTCCGCTCCCCCAAAACCATTGTATAAGCTAGCCTGCCTTCTAAATTGCCACTGTGTTTCTGAATGCGTGGCGCATCCCAAAGAGGGATTTACCAATGTCAAATATTTATTCGCATACATTATTATAATATACGTAGTATATTTATAGTGTTATAACAAGAATTACAACATACATAGTAGAGTTCATAACATTGTTAACTTCCATTTGAACTCGTCAGACGTTTCTTTGTTGAACATCGCGCGAACTATCGATTCTACGGCGCACGTAGGCTTAAATGCCGCGTGAAATCAGATCTCCAGTGCATGTTTGGTGTTTTCGGCCAAGAGACCACACTATCGTCCACATAGATTAAGCTTTCCAGACGCTATTTCTTGGCGGGGAATGAATTTGTCTGACTCGGTACTCACACAGGAAAAGTCGAAATATAGGTTAGTGTGTTAACTCGGAAACACTGCGGTTTCATTGTGCTTCTTCACCGTGAATAGTTATTTAAGGCTAAAGCTATTTGACAGCGAAAATAGGGGAAGGAGAGGGAAGTGGGGGGGGGGAGTTGGGGATCACATAGCCAGGAGATTAAATCCACTCAAGCCGGCAGTTTTTAAGTCCCTCATGTCGAGTTATTACTAGGCTCGAAATGAATTCAAACGGCAGTGGATAGTAAACCGGCTGGACTCGTAGCTCGATATATAGCTTCCAGGATGGGGCTGCTGCATCACGGGGGTTAGTGACGGAAACACTCATCGTGAAGAACAGAAATGAGGTGTTTCTTTAAAGACAGTGGTTGAAGTGGTCGGTGGGTAAAGGTGCCAACTATGATGAACCTTCGGGAAGCAGAACATGGTTCTTGATGGGGTGTATGGGCACTACGGACTACAGTAAATGCGCTGCTTTGTGCTTCCACACTGGCTATAGGCTGACAAAGAGTTGCCTTCCATTCCGTGAACACTGCTATTGACAATTGCTGGGCAGTCACTGGCGCACGGGGTCGCGCTGTAACAGCTCTTCCAAATGCATCCACAATTGTACTCAAATTTGTGTGCTGAAGGAGGCACTGCGTATCTCCTATTGCTTTATTTGTCTACTCGCTTTCGCTTACCCATTTCCCTGAAGGAGGATTCCGCGACAGAATCGGAGCTCGAAAAAGAGGAATATACCTAGTCTAAAGGCAGGCGGATCCCCTAAGGTTGTGGTATCATGCGCATTTTGCAGCAAAGAGTATCACCTGGCGGCCTAGAAGAGCCGTCCCCGTGCCAGTCCTGCCGCTGCGCCCACCCTCTCGCCGTCTGACTCTAGCCGTTTAGCAGAGAGAACGCTAGCGTTGAAGAGAGTGCACCGATGAGAGGGGCATCAGTGCGGAAACTAACGGACAAAGGAGTCCCATTTCTTGGGTTCCAGGTTTCTCATGGTTTTTTCTTCAACCCTACTTTGATGTGGAATAATCCAAGAATGAAGATTGTAGCGTTATCGAATCCAAGGTACATATCCTGTGTTGGCTCGAGCCGTTCTTCGACTAAGTCTTCGCGATGATGGCCTGCTGGCAGTGGACTCTCATGCTTCCTCACCCTGCTAAACCGTAGCGCCAATCCCCCTCTACCTTGGTTTACGGCTTCATCTTCGTTAAGAGTCAATAATAAGCCGCCACGTATTGAACTACGGCGAGTGATCAGATGATCGGTGGGCGGAGATCGCCGGACCCGCCAGCTTTGAGGCATGATAGGTCGCCGAGGTCAAATTTTTCCATGCGAATTGCGCGTCAGTTCGCACCCTCAGGAGGTCCGTGGGTCCCTCAACTAGGTCAGTTTCCCTTTCTTCGACCTTCATTCTAATCGTGAATTCCTCCTTTAAGTCGATTTTTCTCTTTCTCTTTTCTGTTATTCAGGAGGCTAGCTCAGAAAAATGAACGACATGCTCTTGTGTATCCGTGGACGGCGCCTTGAGACCATGCAAAAATCGTCTCGAGAAAGTTTGGGTTTCCTATAACAACTTCCTCTGGTTACGCAGACATTTAAGCCCGAGGCTAAGGGACCACCCTGCAGGTAATCCTCGGTATGGTTAGGTAGAATGGCCTGGTCTTGCGGAATGCCCCAAATGCGCACTTGGTACCATTTGCGCAAGAGCGCTCAGCATGGGCGTTTTTAGCAAAATACAGAAGCCAGGCCAGTACTGAGTCAAGCACTGTTTGTTTAAGGCCACTTCTCGTGCGCATCTCGCTACGGCGTCGTTTCTTTCGTCTCTTTTTGCTCGTGCTCCGGTCTTGAATTTCCGTCGGCGTCGGACCACACCCGACCTGACGGAATGTTCAAGCCCTTGATTCCCTGTTTGCGATGGTTTGGTTTGCTTCTTATTCTCTTTCAGCTCTCATCGCACACCCACCTTCATTACTGAGCGCCTTACCACAGTCTTATCGCGGCGCTTGCCGTCGAATAATACCTATTTTAAAGCTGAAAAGAAGCGCAAGAGGAAAGATAGTGCACTACTAGCAATTCACCTCTATTCTTTGCAAGGACGAGGATCGGGTGCTAACTTAGTTGGGGGGGGGGGCACGCGGCGGCGCGGCAGTCTGCTCACCTGGGCTCTCTCGAGCGAGACAGTGTAAACTCGAACATTCCAGCTTTTCACGCATGTCAAGTGACTGCCCCCACCCCCCTAGAGGCTACACTCCCCCCTGGCCCACGGATTTCCGAACATGCCAGGCGAGCCGACGCCGCGCGTGGCCCCCCAACTAAAGGTTAGCACGCACGTTCATGGAAGGATGTTGGGAGCACAATGAAGTTACATGTATGGACAAGGCGGCTCAGCCGAATATGTTCCCATCACCTTGCAGTGACGAATGTTTGGCACTGCTGTCGCTCAGGAACAGTGATTTGCGGTTTTTCCGCATTACAGTAATCCGATGCGCATACGCATGACTCGGTCTTCAGTAGATCGGATGCGTCCTGAAACATCGAATACTGTATTTCAATACACACGGCTCTCCTGGCAGATGGGACAACACTCTAACCAGGAAGGTCTTTCAGGACATGGAGCCCTTTTTGAAAACGGTTTTTTGCATGATAAAGGGGCACATGCATGGAGTACAAAACTAGGCTCCATTTTTTCTGAGCGGCCCTGTGAATGCCAAAAAAGGTATGAAAAATTGGTCGAGGGATCGGTCCCGGCTGATGACAAAATTTTGCATTTCATGTTAGCGCATGTTAAATGACTCCAAATGTTACCGCCGATAAAAATAGGTACTGTTCTTACAATCAGGGTCATCATCAACCTTTCTGATTAGCTTTCTGCCCAGAATTGGGGCGAAAATTGTATGGCGCTAAAGCGGCGCCGAGTTGGTGCCCGAGGAGGCTAAAATGGCACAATATCGCGCCTCCATCAAAAATGGACGTCAGATTCGTAATCAGCGCCTATAATTACCCTTATAGCCGCAGTTTTAGAGAAGATCAAGATTTCGGCCCGAATTCAAAAATTGGGCCATGGGTTAGCCCATAGTCAGTACGGCATGCACGCTTCCCACTTGGAGACAGCTTCGAGATGATAGCAAGCGGCACGTTTGGTTGATAGTTACACTTCCACCGCAGTTCCTGCCCATGGGGCAATCTGGCATCACCCCTTGATCTCGTCGATGCATGGCGTATGCCTGGGTGGGCACTGGCATACGTCGACGAGCATCCTGGACGTTCCTCAACGCCGGCAATCTGCCTTCAAGGGAAATGGAGTGGGTGTTCCTTGCGAAGAAAATGGCAACTTCACTTTTCTGGCGTTCGTTAGATGCAGTCGGTGTGATCTGCGCCTGTGATTCAGATACTTCATTGAGTTTTGACCATAACTGCTAGTTTGCTAAACGGAATTTCGTACACAACTGAAAAAACATGGTACTACGAAACATCGCAGAATTGGGGGAGAAAGTTCATTGGAAATGACACCTATAGGCTTTAAGTTCACGCGCAAGCACATGCAAATGCAGAAAAAGTGATAATCGGAAAAATGCAAAAGTCCGAGCATGGAGGGGAACCGAACCAACAACTTCGAACAAACCGTGCCAACCAGAGTCCATCACGCTATCCACTCGACCATCCGACCACCGCTGTACGATAAATGTCAACGACTCTGATGAAACTTCCTTGTGCTTTTGAGCACTTATTATATACAATTTTTGGTATTGGCTTTATTCCACGCTGTTTTCAACGTTCAGGTGAAGAAAACCTTCTATTGTGCGTCCACTTAACATAACGAGTGATATAAACCACGTTGAAGGTGTGAAAACTCCGATTTCTGAAGAAATTTTTTCACTCCTTTTTTGGCATTAGAGGGCCGCTCAGAAAAAATGGAGCCTAGTTTTGTACTCCATGCATGTGCCCCTTTATCATGCAAAAAACCGTTTTCAAAAAGGGCTCCATGTCCTGAAAGACCTTCCTGGTTAGTTGAAATCTAGACAAGAGAAAGATTTGATGGCCCAAAACACATGCTTGTTGCTGCTTTTAAACGGCTCGATTGGGCTGACGCCACAGTCCGTGATTTTTACACATTTTTACCAATGCGGGGAATAGACGTGCTTCAAGGATTACCCTTTTTGACTGCGTTTACGAGATTACCCTTTTTGTTTTCAGAAGATCCCGTAGGAAAGAAAGTCATGGTTTAGTGTACGAAAAACGTCCCAAAGCCACGAAAATGAAGACAAGACCCGGTCCAGAGCCAAAAAAGAAAGTGATTCACCTTTTATGCACTTACAAATGTTCCTAACAGTTCAAGTTTTATAATCGGTATGGTTTCTCAAGAAATGCTTCTATAGATCGGTTGATTGACAGCCTTACCTTTGCTACTGTGTGGTGCATTGCTCCTGTGATTGGAGGAATCATACACGAGCCCATTGATCGTCGTTCCACTAATGGCACCGAAGCGTTCACACAACCCTAAATCAGGAAATTAAATTTTGAGGAGCAGGAAATATCCAACGAGTCGAGTAACCGCACCTTTTCAATTTCCTTTGTTCGATGATTTATCACATAACTGCATAATTCTCCAAGGCACGTCTCGCCCTTGCAGTGAGCTCCAGAACAAACACACGTCAGCTGAAATCCGTCTGAGTATTCTACGAAAGCACAATCACTGATTTTAGCAAATCCTTTTTCATGTTTTATTTTATCACCAGTCAGATCGCCCACATAATGGCAGGCATCCCCTCCTCTAATTCAACCTATTTTGATCGGACCCGCTTTACA